ATATAACTGGCTGATGCTGAGTGACACAACGGAAAACTTCTCCGTGGCCAGTGACCCCACTTAGCCTAATTTTTAGGTGGCATGCGACAAAACGCTAATTGCTCGTGCATCGCTCGCCTGCCTACACCTGCTTAGTGCGTGCCTATACGCGTTTGCTCTCTCTCTCTCTTCTCTCTTTCTTCCACTGCAGCGTTCCCTTTCACTTTCTTCGGGCTATTTCAACCGGGCCTGGCAATTTATGATGGCTGAGAAAGAGATACAGTATTAGACGCATGTAAAATAGTGCGCCCGATACTGATCATTGCGCCTGACCAAGGGCAGAGGGGAGAGGAATTAGCGAAAAGCAGGCTGCTGCCTGCTCTCGTCACAATATCACCGGAAAAATGATCAAAATATTACCCTCAATTACATAGAATATCTTACAGTTGTTTTTAATGCACGTTTACGTCTCTACTATTTTCCTTCCCAGTGGAAAGTTACAGAGATTGTTTTAATACCAAAAACCCGGTAAAATGAACATGAGCAAAATTTCAACAAAATCGATGCTGTGTTTGCTCATAATAGAGAATAAACGCACATGTGGTCGTCGCTAAGACCTTCTTTGCACATATCCATCGTATTCCGGACGACCCTGTGTGACGATTTATAATTGTAGACGAAATATGGATGTATCAATATACTCCCGATACAAAAAAAAAACAGTCAAAACAGTAGATTGTTAAAGGTGAACAGGCTCTAAAGAAGGCAAAGATGATTAACTCGCTTATCAAGTTTGTGGCCACTGTTTTACCGGATGTACGTGGAATCATCGACTGAAAACAGGACAAAAAGATTTGGTGCTCAGTGATTTATTTCCAAACCTAAAAAAAGTGTCTTATCGAGCAGCGATTCATTTCGAGATCATGACACAAACAAATGGCTATTTTAAAGAAATCCTAAAATAATATTTTTCTGATAGCTTAGAGAAACTGAAAAGACGTCTGGAAAATTACATCGAGCTGAACGGATATTTTGTTAAAAAATAAAAACAAATCTGCCTAAAAAAATAGTTAATCTATCTTTTTCTAAGGATTTATTGATACATCCTCGTATTTAATGTGTCCTATATTTATTAGTTCACGAGAATAAATTATGAATTTGTTTTTTTTAGAAAATGTGTTTCAGACAAAAGTTGTGGAAGTATGGAAGTTCCAAAAGTATGGAAGAGGACATCTGATGATGATCTTCAAACTGACCTTAACTTTGACCTTTAAGGTTTTCTCAGTCAACTGGGATTTTTAAACAGGAACCTACGTTTTTTACATCAGATTTGAAAAGAGTGCAAAATTTTACGTCTAAAATGATATTTATAAGTTTCTTTCAACCTCGAGTGTCGATTGAAGGTCAGTGCTCAAAATTTATGCAGTAGCTGTTTATCAGAGTGTTTTGACATCTCAACGTTTCAAAAGTATAAGAAAAATCAACTTGAAATATGATAATGACCTTGAAAAGGCTGATCTTACGGTCATTTTCAAGATCAATGAAATAACAGTTGTTTCTTGAATCAAAATATTTAATTTTGACATCAGCTTTAAGAAAGAAAACAAATATTCAACGTAATAATTTAATCAATTTAATTACTGTTTGTAACGAGCGGGCTCGTTAAGAAATAGATGAGTGATATTTGAAATAGCGCGCCATGCGTAAAAGACCCGCGCAGCGAGAAAGAGAGAGAGAGAGAGATAGCTACGACACGCGGGCTCTAAAGAGTACACGTGAGACCGGCAAGCGGATAACACGCGCTCTGAATCCTTCTATCGATTTTGTGAGGAAAAGTTGAGCGACGTATCGATCTCACGGGTTGGGAATCTGCGAAGTCCGAGCACGGTGACTGCGGAAGGAAGAGAGTAAAGGTCAACGTGTGAGGACGAGCAAATCGAAGGCCGCTATCGGAACAGGGAGAGCCGACTCGTCGCCCACAATCCACGAGGATCCACTCATAGGCCTCCCAGCCTCGACAACTCTGGGCGACGACCCCTACGTAACCAGGCTCTAGATATAAAGCGAAGCTGTCTGCAGCAGCGTTCGTTCGTGTAAGTCTCCTCCTTTGTATCCCGGATTACGAGCGGAAATTCCGACAAGTGAGCGCTTGTAAACAGCGTCGGCTGCGTGTTGACCGAATTTGTATTTTCTGTCTCTCTCTCATGCGTGCGTACGGTTAGATCGTGTACCGTGAATCTCTCGGCCAACGTGAGTTGTCGCGCCTATGTAGTTGTGAGAAGCGAATAAACCCGGCAAAGATACATTATTAAGCCGACATATTTATTCGACAATCCTAGACATTCTCGACGTTCCCTTTCCCCCTCGCACCGTTTTCGAAGAACCTTCGACCATCGCTTTTCTTTGTTGTTTCGTGCTTTCGCGCTCGTTTTCAGGCTGTGCGTCCAGCACAGAGCTAGCCGAAAAGAGGAAAACAGCGGTGACATATAGATTTTTCTAACGGACGACGATTTACTTCTGAAGAAATCAACAACCGTTACATGTTAGACTTACAATACCGGTCATAAATTTCCGAAAATTTTGTGAAACAAAAGCTATTATTTAAACAAGAATATCTCCGATTCTATTAATCGTAGAATAAAAATCAAAAAGACAAATTTAAATAGAGGTGAATTAGTAACTTTTTATAGGATATAAAGTTTTTGAAGTAATTTTGTCTATTTTTTTATATTATTTGTAAAAGGGTCACTTTTCCAAAGTTTTTTTTAAATTCTCGAATCACTTGTATTTTTGAAAATATCGGTGATAGGTAAAAAATTCTGATGAAGATTGATAGATCTTAAAAAAAACCTAAACTTTATCATTCACAGCCTTTTTCGCTACGATGCTTATTTAAAAAGTTATAAGCGATTGAATATGATCACTGACGAAAAGTGATGTGTAGACTTACCCATTTTAAATGCACACACTCACACTTGAGTAAATCGTCTGGAACTGCAGAAATCGGAAAAATAGTCATTACAAAAGTTTTACGATTTAGATGAAGTGTCATATGGTGACCTTGGATTTATCCTTGAATTTAATTTCCAAGATCATATGAAGGTCAACTTTTTTTCTATCAAAAAGTATATAAAAATGTTGTTAAAATTGTAAAATAAACTTGTGTTACTAAACTTTGAATTTCACCTATCATTAATTTTTTTATTATTAATATAATTATTTTTGTATTGTACACGCCACTATTTTTTCACTATAAAATTATTATTATTCTTATTGTTGCTGTCGTTTCTGTTCTTCTTATTCTTGTTTTCGAAACCTAACAAGTATTATATTAACCATTTTTTTTATTTTGGCCTAATGAAAAAAAGATATATTTAAACTGGCTTCTCGACCTTGAAATGACTTTGGGATTTGTAACTAGTAGAATTATTCTAAACGTAAAATTTTCCGTTCTTTTCATTTCTGTGATCAAAATTAGGCGTTTCTTCATATAACCTTGAAGATTGAGTTCAAGGATATATCATATGGCACTTCTCTCTAAATACTACAACTTTTGTAATAACTATATTTCCGGTTTCTGATATTCCAGAGCAGTTATTCAAGTGAAATTGTGTTCATTTAAAATGGGTCAGTCTACATATCACTTTTCGTCAGTGGTGATATTCAATCGTTTGGAACTTTTAAAAAAAGTATCGTAGCGAAAAAGGCCGTGAGTGATAAATTTTAGGTTTTTTTCAAGATCTATCGATATCTATCAGAATTTTTTACCTACGAGTATTACAAATATTTTCAAAAATATAAGTGATAAAAATTTTTTTAAAAGCTTTGGATAATTGACCCTTTTTAAAGGGATATAGAAAGTAGAAAAAATGATTTAAAAAATTTTCGCGTCCCGTAGAAAGTTAGTATTTCGTCTCTACTTGAATTTGCATTTTTGATTTTTATTCTATAGCAGTAGAATTGGAGATGTTCTTATTTAAAGAATGACTTTTCTGCCACAAAATGTTCGGAATTTTATGACCAGAACTGTATATATATAACATGAGCGATGAATTATTAAATAAATAAAGAAAATGAAAAAAGTGTCATTTGCGCGCGAAATCTTGCATATGAACACCGGAAAATTGTGTTGTAACTTCAGGATTGTTCAGCGATCCTTGATCGAGCATTCATTATATCACGGGAAACTATCGGCTAAAGTTTGATTTTTAGTTTTGCTCGCAATATATCGGCTAGGTGATATAAAAACGAGACGCAAAATACAAGCCTGATACGACAACGTACGTAGTGCTCAGACTCTGCCGGTTGACTTGTCAAGAAGCAAAAGAGATTCCTATTTTCTTCCTCACTATGAATTCTGACTTATGAGTGCGACACTCTCTCGCACGCTCCTGCATACATGTCGACTTACAGCATGATTTTCTTTCTCTATCACACTTTAATTTGACTTGGCTTAAAAAGAACTCTTTCTGTTCTCTTCTGCCCATACTGTATTCGGGATGTGTGCACTCCCTCTTTCACTTACTTATATAAGATTTATGATTACGATTTATATCAAGATATTGAATGAGAAAATGGGTTGATGTAATTATTATTATTTTTAACATTATTCTAAATAGTAAATAGCGGAATGCAAGGCATAATAAATAAGTTTCAAGTCGTTTAGTACTTTGGTGGCTCGGTTTCCACTAAATGAAAAATTCTACTCCTGACTCTTCTAAAAGTTGTAAGGAGATTGGTTGTATACTTCTCATGACTATAGGAAACCAAGAATAATGCATACATTTACTCAGTATACCTTTACAGCATAAAAACTATCGTACTTGTTGAAGTAACAATAATAATATTAATAACTATATAAAGAAAAATATCCATGGTAATATCTTCATTAGAACGATTTTCAAAAACTAAAAAAGAAAATTTTCAATTTTTACTGTATATCATTGGCTGGATCCTTTAACCGAAATAGATTAACATTTGTAAGTGAATAATAAAATAAATGATAACTGAAAAATTTGTAGGTGCATGCAGGGAATCGTAGCAGACCTCATGAAAGAGTAACAAGTTGCATAAGATTGCAGGCAGTAAAGTTATTAAATTAGAAAGCAAAGTCTAAGTTATCACCAGCCAAGTTGCCAGTGCCTTTCCAGCGAAGTGGTTAAACAGACTGTGACTGTTAATTACCAAAATAGCTCATAAACACTCCTGTGATTAAGGACTTGAAGACATTAATCACTATGAGTACCAACACTTCAAAAACTTCGAGGCACTTCCAACCCAAGTTTTCTACTAGCATCATATACCGCTCTAACATATACGCCACCCGTTCCATGTACGACAAAACCTACCACGCCAGTGCATTATTCGGCTACAACAAATCGTCTTATAATAGGTCTCCTTTCATTTTTAAATGTATTTTTTATGTAATGCTTTTTTCATTCTTAGATTTAGATGGCTTTTAATCATTGAAAAATAATTAATTAATACTATTAAATAAACTCTAGCAACCCGTCGTATTCCAGAAGGTATAAAACGTTGTCAAGTGGGAAAATTGTTTTTGCAACGTTATGGAAAACTATTCATACTGTATTTTTTCCTTGACTATGTAAAAAGATGAGTATTTCATTCAATGGCATATTGGTATTTAGTGGCCTTTATTCATTTTCTGCTATAAAAATGAAACCATCATCTATTATACAGTTAATGTCTTGAACTAATTTGGTTTTATTTGAATAATGATGACTATAATGATCATCGTGACTGACAAAGTTTAGGTACGTCTGAGGCATAATGCAGTTTCAGGATTGCTGTTAGCTGGATATTCACTTAAACTGGCTAAAAATTACCGTTGAAATATATATATATATATAGGATAGATGAATTGATCTAAGTAAGGAAATCGGATAAGACAAGCAATAACAGTTTTGCTATATCTTTGTCGATAAATTTTCTGTTAAATTACAAAGAGTATAGCCGGGTTTCAACATTGATTTAGGTCCTAAGCCATTTTCGTAAATTAACTGTGGGATCGTGTTTGACCTAAAAAAGAAGTTTTTTTTTTTAAATTTTCAGCTTATAAGATGAAGCTGTAGCAAGATGGGACACCAAAAACCTTTTTTCATGACTTTTTTCATTCTTTTTCCTATAGCTTAGCCGCATTTCAACATTTTTAGTCGAAATTTCTTGAGTTTTATTTCTGAGAAAATTTCCTAACAGATACATGCTCTTTTATTTAACTTGAAAAAGCCTAAAAAAATCACTTTTCATAAAAAAATTGTACTTTTTCCGACTTTTTTACTTTTTTTCAATTTCTCGGTATGTCATCTTAATTTCGCAAACTTTTCACCCATACCATTCGATTCCTCGTTATAAATTACATGAAAATATGTATTTTAAAATTAAGATATCAATGCAAGTCCTTTCGTCTCAAACGAGAAACGCAGCGGAAACAACATTTTCCACGATTTTTCGTATATTATCGACTAAAAAAAGTATCCTACGTATTTGTAATCACCGCCATCCGATTTCTTGTCAAAAAATTTATGAGAATTCATCCCGAATTATTTTAGTTTTGAAGTAAGTCGTCCAAGGGTCTACGCTATAAAGTGTAGAATCAACTATCTGCGATATGTAGTTTTTATGTGGTTCATGACTACTTCTTACTCTATTCATTTTTTATCAATTGTAGTTGGAAATATAACGAATCGTTTAGAAAGTCCATACGGTTCGCCAAATGAAATTGAAAAGTAAATATCGATACATTTCCAGTTATAATTATTAAGCTTCAATACATGGTACCAATTGATTTTGTCTAAAATCGTATTTACCATATATACGTGTTTAATTTAGCAGTCAATAAGTGTGAAGCAATATGCGATATTCAAAATATTCTTGTAATGAGTTACCGTGTACATGTGCTGCGCACCATCGGTACTCTTTCGCTCGTCGAACCATCCCACTCTCGCGGCGTCCTACACAGTCCAAGCTGAGTAACCGTCGAGTATTCACGGTGCCTTATCGCTTGTACTAAATTTTATTTATCAAAAGCATTTAGTTCCATTTTATATTTTCATAAGTGTATTTGCTCTATTTCTTCGGCCTTTATTATCACGTTTGCGTCTCGACTCTCGTACAACATATAAAATCTCTAATTAGACTGCGAAATGGACTGTATTCACATGTTAGACGAGTATTAGTTAGTTTTTATTTTGTATTAAAGATTTTTATTGAATTAGTTGAGTTGATACTAAGGGTATAATCATAATACTGAGATTAATTGTCAATAGTAGTTCTAGTTATATAACACGTATAGTATTGAAATGTACTTCTACCTATAATTTGAAAGCTGTGGCATCAGTACATAAATTTACGGTTGAATTCATTTTAAGAATAACTGAATTATAATTTCGATTCAACAATTGCCGAAACTCAAATTCATTAATTAATATGTTATTAATTCAATTTTTGCATGGTCATTTTAATAAAATGACAATTACTTTTTGTATATATAATTAATATACGAAACTTTAATAAAAATTATAAATAAAATTATTATTCAAGCTCTGAAAATAACTAAATAATATTAAAATTTTATAACTACTAAAAACATTTTTATTTTGACAAAATACACTAGGTTTTTAGAGTAATATATATTTAATTTGATTAAAAATTGATTTTTGATCAATTGTCACAAGTCGATTGTGTTCAGATCATTAATCCTAATAGATTTTGAAATATCTTAACTTTTTAAGATCATTCATTTTTTCTAGGATGTTCTTGACACATCAGCTGAAACAAAAAATAATGACAGTAACCAATGCAAAAATTTTAGAATCAATTTACGTAGGTTTCCAGTGACGTCAAACAAAATAATTGATACTGCCGAAGAAGCTGCTGTAGTTTCTGAGCAGTTTTCTATTAATAACGAAATAGGTTAAAAATTCTGCTAAAATACAGAAAAAAAAAATTTTCAATCCAACTAAAAAAAAAAAAAGTTGAACAGGAAAATATGAGTAAACTGTTTAATAATCCCAATACATTAGATCCTGAAAATCAAAATGTTACTGCAAATGTTGCACCTACGTCGCGAAGTAAATCTAATATAACAACCAGTTGTCGCAGGTTTTAAAGTTTAGGTAGTTGGAAGACTTAAATGAACAAACGGATTCTCAAACATTATCACAATCATCAACGTCAGATCTTTTATTTCGGCTGAAAATTAGCGCTCCAACAGATGTCGATTACGTTGTATTATGGGAGGGGGGATAAATAAGTCTTCACAAAATCCAAGAGATGGCGCTCGTCACGCTAAATTATGATGTTTTTGGCAAGCAATACTACTATCTAGATATCGTTTAAAGTTTCAGCTCGATTCATTAAGTTGTTTTTTTGTGAGCGTTGGTTGTACAAAAAGTTATTGGTTTATTTGAAAAATGAAAAAAACAGAGTTTCGAGCGGTGATAAAACATTTTCATTTTAAAGACCTTACACCAAAAGAAATCACAGTTGAGTTGAAAACCGTTCATGGCAAGTCTTCCTCTGTGTTTAAGACTGTTTATAACTGGATAAATGAATTTAAACGCAGCCGTACAACAACAAAAGATAAACCGCGCTCTGGACGCCTCGTAGAAGTGAGTATGCCCGAAATGGTCAACAAAATCCACGATATGGTGTTGAGTGATAGAAGATTAAAACTGCGAGAATTAGTTGAGGCCACAGGGTTTCAAAGGGTACAATCATTTCAATTTCGCATGAAAAATTGGGGATGAAAAAAATATCAGCAAGATGGGTGCCGCGTTTGTTCACTGTTGAAAACAAACGAACCCGCGTGGTCGCCTCTGAGGCTCTTTTGGCACGCATACGTCGTAATCCAGAAGACTTTTGGCGTCGACTCGTAACTGTAGACGAAACATGGGTACACCACTACACTCTTGAAATCAAAGAACAGTCCAAACAATGGATTACCGCAGGATAACCAGCCCCAAAGAAGGCAAAGACAGTAAAGTCAGCTGGCAAGATTCTGGCCACGGTTTTCTGGGATGCGTATGGAATCATCTACAGCGAACTTTGGTCTTGGAAGAGGATGTGATGAGAGCGAGCGTTGCGCTTACTTTCACTGAGTATTTTTTCTCTTTCCTCTCTCTCAAAAGGGCATAGTGGCCAGCGTTGAGAGCATTTCGGATGCGCCTAATGCATGGCCTTTGTTTTCAGCCGACGGAGATCGCCGAGCGAGACCGAGCCGACCTGAAGCCACTGGAGTGGATGACACTAGGTGTTAGAAAAAGAGAGAGAGAGGGGCGTGTGTGCCCCACGCTGATTTAGGCAGGCGTGCGACGCGTAACCAATTAGCGCCTTAGTTGCGTGCCACCTAATAAGTAGGTCAAGTGGGGATCAGAAAAAAGTCGAAAGAAGCTGTCGATTGCGGTGAAGCGTGCGGACAGTAGAGTACAGTACGGCACCCCAAGGAGCAAGGAGTTAATTTCCAAAGCTACTCTGGGACAGAGACAAGGAGAAGCACACCAAATAAATTGCCAGTGCCCTTTACCAATACCTCTGCAAGGAACGCTCCCGGGGAAGAAGCCGACTAGGAATTGACCCAGCGACGGCCTGCATCACCATCCGCAGGGCGCAGCCAGGCCTTCCCAACGTCTAGCACAGTTAGAAACGTCAAGGCCAATTTTATTCTCTCTTTCTCTCTCTCTCTCTCTCTCTCTCTCTCTCTCTCTCTCTCTCTGGTGGTATGGCGTTTGTGTAAAAGTCAAGTAGGTGGCAAGGTGTTAGCGCGCCGGCTACCTGCTGGTAATTATACAGGGTGTTAATTAAGTCCCGGGACGCCTGAATATTTTCTGAAGTACTTCAGTTCTGAAAAAGGTCAAGGTCATTCCTTTAGTAACTTTCAACGCGGAATCCGATGGTGACCTTGGATTTGACCTTGAGATTGACCTTCAAGGTTATTTCAAGGTCAACTTTGTTTTTTTAAATGGGAACCCCTATTTTTGACAACGGCAATCGAAAGAGCGGAAAATTTTACGTCCAAAACGGTATTTTTAAATTTTTTTTCATGGCCTTGAGAAGGTCGATTTAAGGTCAAATGCTTGAAAAACTGCCTAAAAGCGTTTTTTTAATTTTTAAGATATCGAAAAATGACCTCTACAAAATTTGTTCAGAACAGAGTGGGCCACCGAATGCACCAAAAACCTTTGACCTTTAACCTCATTTTGAAGGTCATTTCAAGGTCGAAGTGTTTTTTGTAATGGAAACCCCTATTTTTGACCCCGGATTCGCATATAGCGCGAAATCAGAAAGAAACATTCAAAACGCAGTGAGTGGAAAAAACTTATCCGGCCAAAAAACTGTACCTATGTCTCTGCTTGCTCCTCATTTAAAACAACT